AAGACACGTCTGCAGCGGGAGCTAGATGATGTCCTGGTAGACCAGTCTCACCTGCGGCAAACCGTTCAGGATCTGGAACGTAAACAGAAGAAGTTTGACCAGGTAGAGAACTGTTAATGGAAAAAAATTGTGGATATTTTTAATGCTGCTACTCTGGGGGTTTTTTCTACAAAGTTAAAAAAATAATTTCATTCAATCACCTTAAGTGATAAAATACCTCAATCTGTGCAGATGCTGGCAGAGGAGAAGAACATCTCTCAGAAGTATGCAGAGGAGAGGGATCATGCTGAGGCAGAGGCCCGTGAGAAGGAGACCAGAGCCCTGACTCTGACTCGAGAGTTGGAGGCCATTACTGACTTGAAGGACGAACTGGAGAGGGTCAACAAGCAGCTCAAAACTGAGATGGAGGACCTGATGTCATCCAAAGATGATGCTGGCAAGAGTGTATGCGAAACTTAAGCATTGCATGTATTTTAAGACAACAGCTCTGTTCCAAAACCTAATAAGCTGCCAACTTAGACAGCAATTATCCTTACAACATGCTAACTGTTTTGGAACCGAGCTAATATTGTCTACATGCCATTGCCAAAACGGCTATTAATTTCTAAAGATGTAATTAATTCATTAAGGATTTTGTAAGTGAATTTGATCAATTAAGTCATTAATAGAAAATGTACAGTCTCTGAAGGTCTTGCTCATTGTGGTAAGATTCATTAGGATCAATTGATTTAAAAAAAAAAAAGACTATCCAGTGTGCTTTGGCAGTTATGGTGCAGTTTGCTAAAAGTGGTGGTCATGATTTATACTTGCCCCCTTATCGTAGTTGTGCACAATCTTTCGTTCTTTTCTTTTAAGGTGCACGAACTTGAGCGGGCCAAGCGAGGAATGGAACAGCAGTTAGTGGAAATGAAGACGCAGCTGGAAGAGCTGGAGGATGAACTGCAGCTCACAGAAGATGCCAAACTGCGCCTGGAGGTCAACATGCAGGCCATTAAGGCCCAGTTTGAGAGAGACCTGCAGAGCAGAGATGAGCAGGGTGAGGAGAAACGGAAGCAGTTAGTCAAACAGGTATGTGCTAGCCTGCCTGACTTCTCCAGAGAAATGTTAATCCATGAGATGCTGATGCATGTTGGGAAACTGGGAGATAATGCACAACTACTCATATTATGCTTGAATATGTCAGGTGCGTGAGATGGAGATGGAGCTTGAGGATGAGAGGAAACAACGGGCTCAGGCTGTATCTGTGCGCAAGAAGCTTGAGCTGGATCTGTCGGAGTTGGCTGCTCAGATCGACAATGCCAACAAGGCTCGAGATGAGGCCCTCAGACAGCTCAAGAAACTACAGGTATTCACATACACATTCTACATGAACATGCATCACTTTTGTATTAAAGTGGTGGGGACGTTTTCTGGTTTCAAGAACCAGAAATCAGATCTGTACTTTTGCATTTTGAATAAAATGACAATTGGAGCACATGCAATATGGTATCCATGTCATTTCCTCTCTTGGTTTGCAGGCCCAGATGAAAGATCAGATGAGAGAGTTTGAGGATCTACGCCTATCCAGAGACGAGGCTCTTAACCAGGCCAAAGAAAACGAGCGCAAGATCAAGAGCATGGAGGCTGAGATCATGCAGCTGCATGAGGTTTGTCTTGTTTGATCAGAATTGTGCTGCAACTAGGGTCAACTTGTTTGTTAGTTTAGAAGAATAAAGTAATTTTTAAAAGAATACGGATGTGGTAAACGTTTCCTATTTTTGTCTCCATAGGATCTGGCTGCTGCTGATAGAGCAAAGAGACAAATTCAACAAGAACGAGATGAGCTGCAGGATGAGATCAATAGCCAGAATGCCAAGAAGTGAGTTACCTGTTGTTGTTGTTGTTGTTGTGATGTATTGTTTGGTAGGGTATCCTGCATCAGACAGTTAGTCCAAGAAAATCAAAGTGTTTTACGTACTTACTGGGTTCAATGGTTTAAATAGTGTATTATTTTTCTCCTTCAGCTCGCTGAGCAGCGATGAGAAGAGGAGACTGGAGGCACTTATTGCTCACCTTGAGGAGGAACTTGAGGAAGAACATCTCAATGTGGAACTGGTCAGTGATCGACTGAAGAAAGCTACACTGCAGGTAGAGTACCGAGAGCTTCATGAGATGACGGCTGAGATTGGGAACACTTCAAACAGTGTTCATCGTGACTCTCTGTGGCTTTATTCTGGTTCAACGTCAGGCTGAGCAGGTTACAGTGGAGTTGACTGCAGAGCGGGGTAACGGTCAGCGTCTAGAGGGTTTGCGCGCTCAGCTGGACCGCCAGAACAAGGACCTAAAGCAGAAGCTTCAGGATTTGGAGGCAACTGTGAAGAGCAAGTACAAGTCCACCATCACTGCCTTGGAGGCCAAGATCCCACAGCTCGAAGAGCAGTTGGATGTTGAGATGAAGTGAGTGATGTTGGAGATGGTTTGTGTTATGTACAGCATAATTACACCTCAAATCCCCCAGTAACCTTTCAGTTGTCAGCTTGGGTTGTAAGGTCTTTATTATTAGTATCTTAACATGATGCAGCTTTCCTCAGTGATTTACTTTGTCTCTAAAAAAAACAAACCTCATTTACTTCCTGTCAGGGAGAGGCAGCAGTCCACAAAACAGGTGCGGCGTATGGAGAAGAAGCTCAAAGAGATCTTACTGCAGGTTGATGATGAGAGACGCAACGCTGAGCAATACAAAAATGAGGTAGGCTGTGCAATCTATTTATAATGCAGTAAGCTTGTTCAAACTACTGCAAAGCCAAGGCAGAGTCTTAATTTGATCTTTGGATGTTCTCAATCAAAGGTGATTTGGTCCACTTGTACCAGTACAGCTAATTTAAATTAAAAGGCCTGTTTTGTTGTTGTGACTATTAAATAGGAACATTATTACTAGTTAAAGTTTTACTCTTAATGGTGGACATTTATAAAAAAAAAATTTTTTAAAAGTCAGTATTTTGAATTCCATTCATAATATAATCTTCCTCTTGGTCAGACTGAGAAGCTGAACACTCGTATGGAGCAGTTGAAGAGACGGCTAGAAGAGACTGAGGAGGAAGCGGCTCGAGCTAACTCCTCCCGCAGGAAGCTGCAGAGAGAGCTGGAAGATGCCACAGAATCTGCTAGTCTTATGAACCGAGAGGTCAGCACCCTAAAGAACAAACTCCGGTGCGTATTCTGCTGCTTTGTGATAGACATATCATCATTCCTCCACAAACGTTGCTTTTAAAATGAGAAATTACTGATTAAAGTCTGAAACTTTTCAGCAAATTTGTATGCCACATATTTAGTGTTTTGTTTATCTTCTCTAGGCGTGGAGATTTCACTGTAAACGTACGTCGTACAGCTGGACGCTCGGGTGTGGATAGCGATGAGGAGAATGATCTGAAGAGTGAGGGGTCAGAGCCAACTCCGGAGTAAATTTCAGCATATCAAAGCTGAGCCTATGGGTGTTACACATGAGGATCTATTATGTCACCAAGTTTGTCTTGTTTAAATGAAATTTGTATGCTTTGAAAATTGCAGCGAAAACCCCATTAAGGATACAGTTGCCCTCAGTGTTTTAAAGCAGATTGAGCCAAACAATTATTCGAGCCATGAGCATAACTTTGCGTCCAAGATAAAAAAATAATAATAATGGCAAAGAAAAATCTTTCATCTTGCCACTTATCAAACTTTATCTTTCCAGTGAAACTGAAACCGTTTATTTGCTGTAATCTGTTTTACCCTGTTGATGACTGCCTTACGATGCATTTGAATAAATATTGGCTATTTATATTTTACATCAGAGACAACGCATTTATCCATTTTCAAAGTAAATTAAATGTTGGGAAATTTTTTATAATTGATAATGGAAAGAAGTTTCCTTGTGCAATAATAGTATCTAATCCAGGATTTGCAGGAATATTACTGACCAGACAATTATTCTTGGTTTTGTTTCAAGAGCACTTCAGCACCAATTAAGCCTTTTCCCTAATAGTTTCACTGGCACCGTTCCACCTTCTACTCCTGTTTTAAAATTAAGACTATGCCTTAATTGCGTCAAATATTGTTAATGTATTTGAGAGTTCTCAGGATTTGTACACCACATATTACTGCAAACTTTTTTTTTTTTTGGTTCCTTGATGTTTTGAAGTTAACACTTTTTAGGTGGAGGGGTGTGTAAGTTTTCATTTTGTACTTAACTGTTTTTATATATATATATATATATATATTATATATATATATATATTTTTTTTTTTTTTAGTTTTCTGTGTATTTGCTAACATGATTTCTGTCATACAGTATTTGTCTGCATTACACATATTTTTCCTGCTGTATGTTTCTAACAATGCATTTGGAGACTATCACGATAGGCCTAGAAATGGTCAAACTTCAGTGCAATGGTAGTGGACTGACTGTATTTGGAGCAATTGAAAATATATTTTCCACTCACTTTTAATGTCACATACCGTTTCACTGCATCTGATTAAAGCTTTGTCTTTTGTACCCTCAATTTTACCTCCAATTTTTCCAAAGCACAGCAGTATTTCATTTATAGACAATATTGATCTAATGGTTAAAGATATGTGCTGCTGATAAGACTGCAGATACAAACTTTTATTTATATATATATATGGTTGCTTGTATAAGCTGTCTCTGTGATAAATTTACTGTATTTTAAATTGGCTTCCGAGTTAGGCTCTTGGTGGGTTTTTCATCAGTCACCAATGCCAGTAATAAAGTCCAGTCTCTATTAATATGTCTTGGAGGACAATTTAAAAATAAGTCATTTTTAACCAAGGCTTAACTTTCATTTATTTCAAGTGTTAGAGGAGTTTGGGAAGACATTTACCTCAGAGTTCCCCGGAGCACGTTTGGAATAATCGAGCTAAACGCTTGTATAAGCTGTCTCTGTGATAAATTTACTGTATTTTAAATTGGCTTCCGAGTTAGGCTCTTGATGGGTTTTTCATCAGTCACCAATGCCAGTAATAAAGTCCAGTCTCTATTAATATGTCTTGGAGGACAATTTAAAAATAAGTAATTTTTAACCAAGGCTTAACTTTCATTTATTTCAAGTGTTAGAGGAGTTTGGGAAGACATTTACCTCAGTGTTCCCCGGAGCACGTTTGGAATAATCGAGCTAAAACCAGTTCTTCCCCGTTGTTCTGCAGACTGCGCAAAGAGTACGCAGGAGTTACGCAAACAACGTACAACTTTCTCGCGCAAGCGTAACTCCAAACTCTGTGCTGTGCTCACGGTCTCCGCGCAGGAATGTGTTATTGAAAACTGTTGTGTAACGTACGCCTGCTGTTTCACCTATACTTCAATAAACATTGATTGCTTGAAACGAAAATACGGAACAACTGTGTGTAAGGTAAAGTTTATGGCTTATGATGGATTGAGAGGTGACCTAGCTTTACCGGCTAACTGACAGAAATCAGCTGACGTGTGTTGCGCCACCTTATTTCCAATATTTTCCAAGTGTGTTTATTGTCAGCTTTGTATTTTACGAAGAAAACCGTATAGGAGCAGTTGGTAAGTTGCCCGCTGCAGGATATTTTAAACTAAGTATGCTGGGCTAACGTTATAGAAATTAGCATTAGCTTTTACTAAGATGTGCTTTAATTGTTTATTTTTATGACAATTCTGTAATTTGCTGCACATTTCTAAATGCTTATGTCATATTTTATTAATTAAATGGTGCTTTCTGTATCTAAATTTTTGTGTATGTACTGTTGACCGCTGTGTGTAACGTTAAAGTGACAAAGAGCGAGAATCATGATGAAGATCAGTCCTCATTCACTCTTCCTCTTCGGTCCTTAACAGACAGGTAAACATAAAATGTAACTTAAATCTGTCTGACACACTCTCTGATTGCCCCCCCGAAGCTTTAATACACGATTCTTTTTTGCTTGGTTGTGTGTGATGGTAGCAGTGGGTTGGGTATTAAATTAATTTCTCCCTCATGCAGTCTGGAATCAAAGCTTTGACGTCTAAAACACACCACAACGGCCACAGAAGAGGTAAAAGGGAGGGAGTTGAGCTCTTCCTCTGTACAAACTTCATCATCCTCTCCATCTGCAATGGAGATTGCACTGGTGAGTTGGTGCTAAGGCTGTGTGCTTTAATGTAGAGCTGTTCTACTGAAGTTAAATGTGAAGTGCTGAATAACCAAAAGATGAATGTTATAGAATAGCCTGACTTTAAACAACTAAACCTGATCGGCTATTAAAAAGCCTACTGAAATAACCTTAAAGTTGATTCAGCAGGCCAGTCAGGTTAAGTAGTTCAGTGTCATGCTATTCTAATATATTGTGCAATGCCGATTGACTGCAAAACATTAATATCAGCTTAAATGTTTTTTGAATTTCTGTCTATCACTAGCAGAGAAAAGCAATCATATTTAATTTTTTTCATGTCTTATTTGTAATAGAAGTCTGAGGGAGTGTGAATATGTTTTGACGACACTGTTTTGCCCAGCACAAATCCATTTTTATGTGTAAAAGGCATATGAAGATCCGAAAATCATTGTTTTTCTTTGTTGTGCAACCCGGCTGAACCTATGTTGGAATAATAGGATATATGCATCCAATCAATGTATGACCCACTTTTCCTGTGTCACATCCACACAAGCACACGCTCATGCACATATACATATGCCTTCAGCAACTGTATGACTCACACTGTGCTGAAAGCACTTGATCTGGAACACAAACGAAACCGAGGGACTGAAACCACGGATGTGCGATAAGGAGTGCGGAAAACCAGCGCTGAGATCGGCAAGCATGGAAGCTTGTGGATTAAGCCGTTGAATCTCTTGTTGTTGGGTGGGAGGGGGTTAAGGAGAGATTTGTGGGCATTGTGGTTGAGAGGAGAGAGATAGGGGCTTACTCTGTCATGTGCTGTTAGTGGCAGCAGAAAGAGTGAGTGAGAGAGAGAGAGAGATGCAAGAGAAAAAGGACCCTCAGCCCAAATCTGCCAGCAGCCTGGGAAAGGTAGGGCAGATTAGTCAGTGGCTCACTGTATGTTTCTCTAGTGTTTTTGTGTGTTTCTGCGTAGTTGTGTGTGTGCCTGCCCATTACTCGTGTCTTGCTGTTTTCATGCTTCTAAATGAATCTCAGCGCTCCGAGGAGCCTGTCGGCAACGCTCAAGTCTTGATGTGCATGTCATGCTGACGGTGTCTGTGTGGTTGTGCATCTGTGTTCGGTGTGATTCTCTATTATGGTCAATTTTAAAGTGCGTTCATGTGTATGTGTGGTCATGCACACTTACACAACCTATTTTTTTTTCTTTCATTTTCATAAATGTACATGCAAATGACACCATGTATTTGAAGGTTTGGTGTCCATGCAGGGCACCAAATGTAGGATGGATATTCAGTGCGTGAGAATATCCTTTTATCTGTGGGATGTCCGTGTTGGTCACTGTGGTGTTTTTCATCATCAGGAATCATCATGATTATGACATCACAGTCATGAGCATATTAGCATATGACCGCCCATGTTTATATTCTTCAGCCCTCTTGAAATCTCTTTTTTAATTCTGTTTTATTTAGTTCTGTTTCATATTTAAATTAATTTAATTTGTATTTTCCTAAATTAATCACCCCCCCCCCCCCCCACTTGGTTAAACCAAACTTTTATTTTATTTTGTAGTAAAGTCCTGTAAGTTGTTTTTTTTTAATCTAAACAAATAAAGATGTAGACATACAAACAGCTGTGAGTAGAAAACAAGAAAAAAATATAATATTCACAAGGAAAGGTCAATAAGGTGTAACAGTAAATAACAGACCTAAAAAAAAACACAAGTAATTTGCATTTATTTTTTATACACACACAAACACACATCTGGAGATATGAGTGTATGTATATGCCAAAATACACCTTTACGAATTGTACCCCCAATTCGCTTCAGCTTGTTCAATTCAAAGGGTTAGAGCGGGGTTGACAGATGGTCTAAGATAGTTTACTATGACTGTTTTTGTTGAACTAACATGTTAAGTGGACATAAAGGAAAAGAAAAATGGTAGAACAGTGTTGAATATGGCCCCTTTAAAGTGCTGCCTGAATTGTATTCTCTTAAAGTCGGCATGAAACGAAAGTTGCGATTGTCTTTTCTTCTCTGCTGTGACGTATTTCCGAGTGAAACGGCATCTGAAATGAGAGGGCGGGACTTGATTTCATCCTTCGGGAATTGATTGTATCGTTGGAAGTTGGGGCGTTGCCAACAAAATGGAGGCAGATCTGAATGCCAGTTTGCAGTTAGTTGTGGGGGAGTTCTCTCCACTGGATTCACTGCGGACACCCTAGCGTGAATAAATGTTTTATTTATTGAGGATGACGACGACGATCAACGGCACAAAACATGCCTAAACAGCGCGCGAGAGAGAGAGAGACTGCCTGAATCAGGTTAAGTCATATTCATGAAAAACAAAATAAATTTGTTTGTTCTAAGAGTAATGTTGTCGTAATATCCTAATATCTTTTCAATGTTTAAGGGTAACATACTCCCTTATGACTGGTGTCAGTGCTATATAGTGAAGCTTCAGCTTTTCCCCCCCAAACGTCACTGCAGCTGCTGGCAGTTCCAGATAGCTCCGCCCTTGCGCCATAGCATGGGGAAGCTGTGGCCTAATGGTTAGAGAGTCGGACTCGTAACCCAAAGGTTGCAGGTTCGAGTCTCGTACTGGCAGGGATTGTAGGTGGGGGGAGTGAATGTACAGCGCTCTCTTCCACCTTCAGTACCACGACTGAGGTGCCCTTGAGCAAGGCACTGAACCCTCAACTGCTCCCAACATACAACTCCGCAACATAAATGACTGCCCACTGCTCCGGGTGTGTGTTCACTGCTGTGTGTGTGCACTTTGGATGGGTTAAATGCAGAGCACTAATTCCAAGTATGGGTCACCATACTTGGCCACATGTCACGTCACTTGTCACTTGTCATAGCTCGTGACCGGAGGAGTAGAGGACTAATTTTGAGGGGGAGGGGAGGTTAATGTTTTTGATTAAAGATTACGAGGGCACATGAATTTTAAAAAAATAATGAACTGCACGGATAAATTATTTATAATAAACACTACAGTATTTATCAAAAAATACGAATTGTCAATTTTGATTTCATGCCGACTTTAAACTGTAGTTTCATCATCTAATCTTTCTATTCATCTCAAAACCTTTTGACTTCTCTTCTGCTGTCACCCCACATTTTATATTCATCCATTTATACTCTTTTCTGACTTTAACCTTTGTCTCCTCCTCCAGTCCTTGTTTTCTCAAATTCTGTCTTTCTGGGTTTGTTCTCTCAGGCTCATCCTGCCCTGAAGGCCTTCATGTGCGGCTCTCTCAGCGGCACCTGCTCCACTCTGCTGTTCCAGCCGTTGGATCTGGTGAAGACCAGACTGCAGACCCTGCAGAACAACATGGACCCAGGGTGAGACGCCACCAACCGACATGCCTGCTGTGACCCTCGCTGACCATGTCTAGACATAAGCCTGCAGTTAGGCTGCTGTCCTTTTGCCCTGATCTTTGTCTGGTATTAGATGTCAAGGCTTAGTTTCAGGACTTGATTGACAGATAATAAACATGTCTTGCATAGTTTACATTTACATTTAGTCATTTAGCAGATGTTTTTATCCAAAGCGACTTACAGTTGGGGAATACATAAAGCGATTCTTCTTAAAGAGGCAAACAGACACAGGAAGTGCTTGTAATACCAAGTTTTTAGACATTGTTAAAATAAGTACAAGCTAGAAAGAGAAGGAATAAATAAAGGGAGAGAATATACAGTGGGGCAAAAAAGTATTTAGTCAGCCACCAATTGTGCAAGTTCTCCCACTTAAAAAGATGAGAGAGGCCTGTAAAATACTTTTTTTCCCCACTGTATATATATATATATATATATTTTATTTTTTTTTATGATGGTGATGATTTAGTCAAGTAGCTTCGAAAGAGATGCTGCAGCTACCGTTGGATCATCTGGTTGGAATGAAAGATAGAGCTGTGTGTCATCAGCATAGCAATGGTAGGAGAATCCATGTGCCTGTATGATGGGACCCAGTGATGTTGTGTATATGGAGAAGAGGAGGGGTCCAAGAACTGATCCCTGAGGAACCCCAGTGACAAGTTAATATGCATAATCATTTCTGTTGTCCTTCTGACTAAGAGCTAAATTAGCATAGCATGTCATAGATTAAAACAACTTCAATCCTTTCAAGGTAAACAATGTTATATCCCAATTTTGCCCAGTACTGATAGCTAATAGTTTTGTGGTGTTTGCTAAAGCATGCTTAAAGTTAGTGATTTCAACATATGTAGTTGGGATTTTAGTCAGTGGATGATAAAACAGATACAAATTCCATAAACTAACATTAAAACAACACCCAAGACATATCTATAGATCCAAAATTTCAGATATTTTGGAATAAACTTGACCTGAGCTAGTAAGCAACCACATAGCAACTTGTATTGGCAACAATTGCTTGTTTTTTTGGTGTTTTTGGTTGTTGTGACAACTGTGATGTTTTGGTGAGATACGAGTGTCATGTTAATGTAAAGGCGTCCTCTCTGTATGCTGTGTGGGAGTGCTATGTTATTAAACTGTCTGCTTCTCTCAGCTTTGCAGAGGATAACATGTTACCCATGTCAAATGATGTGTCCTCATAAGCTCAGCATGCCATCTAAACGCAAAGATTTTTGGCTCGTTCTGTCTGTTTTCGCCCTTCTTTGTCTCTCTGTCTGTGTCCATCATGATCATTTCTATTTTTGTCTTTGTCTCTCAGTGCTCCTAAAGTGGGGATGATTACAGTCTTTTTCAACGTGATCCGCACAGAGAAGCTGCTTGGCCTGTGGAAGGGGGTTTCACCGGTGAGTCAAGTGTATTGGCTGATGTGTCCATTTCCTTTGGTCCTCGCTCACTGTTTCATCTCACAACAGCATCAGTGTTCTGATCTCAGACATATGTCCAATTCTTCATTGAATTTTAACTGTAGATGATATATTTAATGTGGCACGAACAAAAATCCTGGTGTCCTGTGAGGAATATTATGTTATATACATTAAAAATACTCTTTCTTGACACCCGTTTTGTTTTTATTAGTGATGTACCAAAATTAAATTTGTGGTCCCAAACCGAAAATTCAGGATGCACTTTGCTGAAAACAGAAACCGGAAATATATGTTACTTAATAATCATGTAATTGGTCAAATTAATTTAATAATCAACACTCAAATAGAAACTGAGTTTTGCAAATGTGTAAATTGCACACAAGGCAGTTTTTGTCACCTTATGTCACAAAAAAATACTGTTGAAATATAAACATTTAAATGAAAAGAAAAAAGAAAAAAAATATTTCAATGGAGAAAAAAAACTTTCATGGCAGGTTTATTCATACATACATTAAATAATAAAGACAACAGGTTAAGTAAAACTATAATAAATATGTAATATAGTGCATTAATTTAGCAAAATGCTCCTCTAGAATGATTTTTTTTAGTTGACTATCAAGTTTATGGACATTGAATGGTATTCCTGAAGTAAATGTAGCTTTAAATTACATTGTTTACAAGCTGTTTTATTGAAGTCTTTCTGCAGCTGAAACACTGATTAAATGATTACATGAGACATGATACATTTCTGTAGGTTGTTTGTTTCAAAATACCTTCTGATGTTCATTCATATTTATTTTGTGCTGCAACTAGTAGTAAAGTGTAAGAGATGATTATGCTACAGGTGCTACAGTGATCTGTTACGCCACATTAAAGAGCCTTAAAACCACATGCATTGTTTGTATTTCATGATAAAATTGACCGAATTTGAAAGCTGAGAGTGATTTATATTAAAAGTAATAAAGCACAAAGATTTTTGTGATTATTGGCTGGTAGGTGCCCTACAAATAATGTTTTGGAAAGTTCACGCATCAACAGAAAAAACTAAAAATTATGTTTGTTATTATTGTTAATCCAGCTCTAGCATTCAATCATACAGCTGACACGTTTACCTGTTGTTGTTTATTCACATTGTGTGCATGAAATAGACACTGACACAGTCAAACATCAGAGAAACTAATTAAATGTCACTGTTTTGGTCAATGATTTTGGCCCAAAACCAAAAATTTTTGTTTGCCAAAATTTCAGTGCATCACTATTTATTTATTTATTTTTGTATATCAAATACTGTAGTTGTATCTGTCTCACTTGTCCCTCTTTCTGTCCTACAGTCGTTCATGCGCTGTATCCCTGGTGTAGGAATCTACTTCAGCACATTTTACTCGCTGAAGCAGCACTTCTTCCAGGATAGGTCTCCGAGTGCTGGGGAGGCGGTGTTGCTTGGGGCGGGGGCTCGTTGTGTGGCAGGCGTGGCCATGCTGCCCATCACAGTTATTAAGACTCGTTTTGAGGTGAGGATCATTATTGAGCTCTGACACTGTACTGTATGCAGATTGAAAATGCATGTTTTCTGCTGTATCTGTGTGCTTATTCACTGTTGCATGTTTTATTTCAGAGCGGGCGGTACAATTACATAAGCGTAGCTGGAGCCCTTAAAAGTGTGTGTCAGAATGAAGGTCCCAGGGCTCTTTACTCCGGGCTCACAGCGACTCTGCTCAGAGACGCCCCGTTCTCTGGCATCTATGTCATGTTCTACAGCCAGGCCAAAAAGGCTTTGCCACAGGGTGAGCTTCTGATCAGTCACGATTGTGATGTAATCTGAGGATATGGTATTGATTAATGAAGTCTTCTCTCTCTCACGCACTCAGAGATCAGCTCGTCCTCCTTTGTCCCACTGGTTAATTTTGGCTGTGGTGTAGTGGCTGGTATTTTGGCCTCTCTAGCAACTCAGCCAGCAGACGTGATCAAAACCCACATGCAAGTGAGCCCAGCGTTGTATCCCAAGACCAGCGACGCTGTACGCCACGTTTATGCGGTAAGCATCACAGGATAAATCATATTTGTTGACCTTTAGTGGCCTTTAGAAGTCTTTTTAAACACAAAATGTTATTTTAAACACAGCATGAAACAAAAGTCACTCAATTCCCTGAAATACAATATTGCCATTACCACATATGTGACCCTGGACCACAAAACCAGTCATAAGTAGCACTGGTATATTTGTAGCAATAGCCGACAATACATTGTATGGGTAAAAATTATCGATTTTTCTTTTATGCCAAAAATCATTAAGATATCAAGTAAAGATCATGTTCCATGAAGATATTTTGTAAATTTCTTACCATAAATATATCAAAACTTGATTTTTGATTAGTAATATGCATTGCTAAGAACTTAATTTGGACAACTTTAAAGGAGATTTTCTCAATATTTTGATTTTTTTGCACCCTCAGATTCCAGATTTACAAATAGTTATATCCCAGCCAAATATTGTCCTATCCTAACAAACCATACGTCAATAGAAAGCTTATTCATTCAGCTTTCATATGATGTATAAATCTCAATTAAAAAAAAATGTACCCTTATGTCTGGTTTTGTGGTCCACGGTCACATATATACATATGGCATACAATACCATTACCATATATATATATATTCAGGGATGAAGCATTAAATTGATTAAAAGTAACAGTAAAGCCTTGTTACATAAAACAATCTGTTTCAATTCTGTTTTAACTTTCTAATCATCAAAGAATCCTGAAAAAAAAATTATCACAGTTTCCACAAAAATAGTTAAAACCATTATAATAATATTGATAATTAAAATAAATGTTTATAAGAAATTAAGCGTCAAATAAGCATCTTAGATTGATTGACGGATTGTATGACACTGAAGACTGGAGTAGTGATGCTGAAAATTCAGCTTTGCCCACAGGAATTAATTACATTTTAAAATATATTAACACAGAAAATAGTTATTTTAAACTGTAATATTATTTCATAATATTATCTAATTGGTGTATTTTACTGTACTGTAGTGTATCATATTTATTTTCTTAATAAATGTTCCTTGCCTTTTATATAAGCTTTTTTTTTATATAAATAGGTATATTTCTACATCTAGTGTGACTTCTGAGGATGTACCCGAAAGATAATATGAACTTATAATATATCCTTTCATGTTTCCACTTTTCATTATCTAGTCAAATGCTCACAGATCAAATTAAATCCCACCCAACATCATTTTCATCTGAAATTTCGGTTTCAAACTTTACTGTCACATTACAGAAATTAAATTATGAACGTTGTTTTGTATTTTCTAAAAATCTGTTTTTAAACACGCCTGGCACATTTGTGTGCACTCCATACTGTGTGTCAATTTTTTAAGTCATGGGTTTGTCAGTAGATTAAAGTCTTTTTAAAGTCAGTTGCATCATTTTAATTCTTATTTTCTCTCTCTCCAATTTTAGAAGCATGGCTTGAGTGGGTTCTTTCGAGGAGCGGTTCCTCGTTCTCTGAGGAGAACCCTCATGGCGGCCATGGCCTGGACTGTGTACGAGCAGCTGATGGCACGCATGGGACTGAAGCCCTAGACACCCAACGCACTTTATGTGTGGACTTCATTCTGTTTGTGTCCGTTACAGGAGTGTGTGCTTTTCAGACGATGGTGAAAAGATGGCATTCTTTTATCCTTGAAGGCTTGATCAAAACAAAAGCAGCTAGTGTTGGCTGAGGTACCGGTAATCGTAGGGTTCCGCGTGTGTGTGTGTCTTTGTGTGTTAGTGTTTTCAGGTGCAGTGAGTCGTTACCCCGTGACACCTCTGACAGTGACATTCCTAAATTGCCACATTGTGAGTTTGTATGCCTTGTTGACACCTGCATATTTAGAGAGGGGTCCGCACTGATGAATACCAATGAGAGACTGCTGAATCATGTGCTGTCAGCTCACAAGAAAACACTCCTTTCACAGGAAGAAAATCCCCCTTTTGGCAACTAACCTTAGCAGTGTTCTCAGAAAGTCCGTGGACTCCAGTGTCTGTGATAGTTCTTAAGCATGGTCCTCTGAGTTAAATCCTTTTTAGTCAAGGATGAGGATTAGTGGGTGTTTAAGACTGGTCTTACCAAGACATGTTGACATAATACTCCAGCGCTCCGACAATCAGACCGAATTACTCCAGGACTGCGAAACTGAACTGACGACACATGACTGTCTCACCAACATACTCCATTCCGACTATAATTGCGTGTCTCTATGCGATGATTGTGCTGTTCTACTGATTTCCTGTGCTGTGTGACTGGATGGGTTTATCAGTGCATTCCAATACACTGGGTTTTTTATTTTCTTTGAACGCTCGCTCCTGGGCACAGACAAAGCCAGGATTTGGATTGAAGGAGACTTTGTAAGACCTGGAGAAACATTGGGAAGTAGAACGTATCAGTGAGAATTTACAATACTTCATGTATCGTATTTGCAAATGTGTTGTCGGACGTTTTGTCGTGTTGACGTTGTGTGTAAAACCACTGTAAGTGTGGTGCTCAGTGTGAGCACAACAGTGTAATGTTAATTCTACATGACCCATAGGGGTTGCTCTGCTGGGTGCTGCTGATGGTATAAACCCCGACAGCCTGATGGCTCAGAGTCCCCAGACATGCAGCCAGACAGTGTAAAGGGGGTCAGGTATGAGGACACCTAGAGGGACTGAAGCACTGCAGTGACGCACGTCAAACAGGGAGCAGTAATTATAACAGACTTCTGTCAGATTTTATTTACCTAACTGCAAAATGAGTAATGTACTCACAAAAAAAAAGCTCAAGCATACAGTAGTTATCAGAAACCAGCTCCCCAAGGAAATAATAATGATATCATAACAATATCCAGCATAAACCATAATGCAGACATTAGACTTGTACTGCTATTTGATGGATTTCACATGGTCAAAATGAACAATACATAAGACAATGCATGGAATTATGTAATATGCTTTCTTATTTAAAATGCAATATTTCCAATTTTCCTGTTTTTTTTTTCCTCCATTTTATTTACGTATGTGTTTGTTAACATTGCCTACCGGTACAGTGCTATTTTAGTTAAATTTAGATGCTATTATATATTTTTTATATTTTGAATTCTTTTTTATCTTCCATTTTAATGGTTTTAGTAAATCTTTTTTTTTGTCATTTATTATTATTATTTAAATATGTATATGAAGTTTAAATAATTTTTGGGTTCGTTTTAGTATATCAAGCCACACTAAATGTTGTTTGGCAATAAAATATCTTGAGTTTTTTCATTATATTTCAGTGAATGTTTGTTTTATTTAAAGTAACAACACTTTATGGTTTTAGTTTTACTTAAATATTATAATCTCTGATTTGACTGTCAGAGTGTTTTGACTGATTTGTACTCACTATATTGTTGGAGTGTGTGTGTGTGTGTGTGTGTGTGTGTGTGTGTGTGTGTGTGTGTGTGTGTGTGTGTGTGTGTGATACAGTACTTGCATTAGCAAGTAATTTCAGTGATCTGAGGACCCGTCCTTTTTCACTTCACCAAAAAAAGATCAACAACTGACGACTATTGTCTCGCATGTGAAATCCTGCACCGCCGCTAGGGGTAACGTTAGTATGTTACTTTTTTTAAACAGAAGGAAAGCGAAGAGCAAGAAATCCTCCGGTATGATTGGTGGACACTCTGGTATATAATGCACGTCATTTCCTCATCCCGCTCTCTTTGTGCCGTGAGGTGCAGAACTCCATACGGCGTTGTCTCGTGGTGAGCACAAATTCTATCATTTTGACGACTTTTAAACGTCTATTTGAGTCAAACTACTTAACTAAAGGCCATAATTACGAATATTCATCAAATATCGTGTTAAATTTGAAGTTTGCGTCAGGTTTAAAAATATGAAGGCCTGAATCTCAACGTGTACTCTCGCGCAAGGAAGCGCGTGTTCATCTACAGTCGGTGTAGCGCGCTTGATGGTCGAGCGTAAGAATAATTAACACTTGAGTAGTTTGACATCAAATGTCTACATACCTTTAATGTCTCTTTTAGTTGATTGTTGAAATAAGTTAGACGTTTCCTCAGTAAGTTAGCGCGGTGAAGTATAGCATCTGGCGTGAGATGGCTCTTGGTTCTGTCAGGATCACGCACACTGTTAAAGCCTCGCACTGCTGTCGGTGTTTAGGTGTCGGATGTGTGCTAAAGTGATACAGCCGGGTTTTCGCTAACACCAGTAGGGCCGATGCTCCCTATGACTGGGGTTTGATAGCGACCTGAGCTACATTCAACACACTTTCTTATAAATACTTATTCCGCTTGTCAGTTTCTTCTAGGCTAAGCCATCTATCTATACGCTCTTGTTTCCTTCCAGCTCTCCCACTTCAACTCGTTACGCAGGGAAAGTGGTCACGATGTCCGGAGGTCTGGATGTCCTTCAGATGAAGGAGGAGGATGTGCTGAAGTTCCTGGCAGCAGGAACCCATCTGGGAGGAACCAACCTGGACTTCCAGATGGAGCAGTACGTCTACAAGAGAAAGAGTGACGGTAAAAAGTGCAGATTAGGGTGATGTGGCTGCGACATGCCTTTTTGGTGCTTTATCAATCTTTGTAGGTTACTGTAACTTACAATGGTTTGTGAGGGAACTGCAGGTGATTTGAGTTACCTAATATATAAAATATCTCTAATAAAGCCTGTGGTAATTTATGGGAATAGTTACTTAAAGGGGTAGTTCACCCAAAATTGTCATTAATTAGATCCAAACCCTTAAGACCTTTGTTCCTGCAAGAATACTTTTTGTGTGCCAAGAAAAGCTTTTCTTCTGTTCACGAGAGTACCACGACGCGTAGTATAAAATTAATAAAGTAATTTTTTTCTTTGTGCACAAAGTTTTCTCGTAACGTCATAACAGTTGAACCACTATCACATGGACTATTTTAACAATGTCCTTAATACCTTTCTGGGCCTTGAACGTGTCAGTTGCGTTGCTGTCTATGCAAGGTCAGAAAGCTGTCAGATTTAAGATGAATGAAGGTCTTGGGGGTCGGTGTGGAATGACGTGAGTAATGACAAATTAAATTTTTGGGTGAACTTTCCCTTTAAAATCTCAGGGGTGCTTGATGAAATATTTTGTCAAAGGGGTTTGGGAGAAAAGGTTTAGGAACCCCCCCTATAACTGCTGACTCTTGCATTTCTGCAGGCGTGTACATCATCAATCTAAAGAAGACTTGGGAGAAACTGCTGTTGGCTGCTCGTGCCATTGTTGCCATCGAGAATCCAGCTGATGTTTGCGTTATCTCCTCCAGAAACACTGGCCAGGTAATTAACACACTCCATGTCTAGTCATTGCCAGCAGCATTTGTCTTTAAATTCTCAATTAAAAATCCAAAGCTGTTTAACCAGGCACATTATTAAAACCTGGCACTGCTGTCGGTGTTTGGGTGTCGGAAATGTGCTAGAGTGACTTGGCCGGGATTTCGCTAACACCATGAGGGTTTTGCCCCATGACTGGGGTTTGATAGTAACCTGAGCCACAATGCTTTTATTCTTTCACTTACACTGGATACGTTCTTTGTGAACTTGATTGGTGATTTTACTGATGTTAAACATCACTGTTCTTTCCTGTCAGAGAGCTGTGCTCAAGTTCGCCTCTGCCACTGGCGCGACCACCTTCGCTGGTCGTTTCACTCCTGGAACCTTCACCAATCAGATTCAGGCTGCTTTCAGGGAGCCCCGCCTCCTGATCGTGACCGATCCTCGTGCTGACCATCAGCCACTAACTGAAGCCTCTTACGTCAACATCCCAACCATTGCCCTCTGCAACACTGACTCCCCTCTGAGATACGTCGACATTGCCATTCCATGCAACAACAAGGTACGAATGAGAAACTAAACTCTTCGTGACCCATACTCTGAATTAGTGCTCTGCATTTACCCATCCAAAGTGCACACACACAGCAGTGAACACACACACATTGTGAACACACACCCAGAGCAGTGGGCAGCTATTTATGCTGCGGTGCCCGGGGAGCAGTTGGGGGTTCGGTGCCTTGCTCAAGGGCACCTCAGTCGTGGTATTGAAGGTGGGAGAGAGCGCTGTACATTCACTCCCCCCACCTACAATCCCTGCCGGTACGAGACTCGAACCCACAACCTTTGGGTTATGAGTCCGACTCTCTAACCATTAGGCCACGACTTCCCGTGGCCTTCATGCAAGTGGTGTTGGTTCTGTCTGGTTATAAGCTTTTAAATGTTGTGTTTTAGGGTCCCCACTCTGTGGGTTTGATGTGGTGGATGTTGGCCAGAGAAGTGCTGAGGATGAGGGGCACCATCTCCAGGGAGCACCCATGGGAGGTCATGCCAGATCTGTACTTCTACAGAGATCCTGAGGAGGTACAATGCAAAATATTCTTTTCTCATCCACGTAGGGCTGGGTGTTATAACTCAAATTTATCACGATATAATGTTTCATATCGTTCGGTATCGATAATTAATTGAACATTTATTATAACCTTAAACGGAGCAGTAGAAAAAAAGGTTTAAATTTAACCATTGTATTTTTAATTTTCCCGATTTATTAATACAAACAAATAAAATTGAAACATCTCCTTTCTTTTATTTTATATGCAGATTAAATAAGTGTTAAAGGGGTCATATGATGCTTTTTTTAAAGATCATTATTTGGTGTAACAGAATGTTGACATGCTTTAATGTTCAAAAACACATTATTTTTCAAATACTGTACATTTATTGTAAGTCCTCTATGCCCCGCCTCTCTCAAACGCTTCGTTTTCTACAAAGTCCCTCCTTCCGACAAGCGCAGTCTGCTCTGATTGGCCAGTGCATTGTGATTGGCCAAACACCGCAAGCACTCGTCGGAAATGTAACGCACCTTACCATAATCGCGAGCTTCATCTTTCAAAATAAATGTAAAGACAGAGCCCGAAAGGGGAACAGAGTCTCCTGACAGACACAGTGATGAATGTGGAACAGTCCATAACAAATACTTAAACTAGTAACAAAACAGTAGCTGATTCAGAAGCGCCGGATTGTCATAGCAAAGTCAGAATTACCTCCTCTCCTAGGTTCATGAAACGGTCGTCCATAAAATGCATTGCTGTTCTGTTGTAAGTAATCTTAAAGATTCCTAAATGCATCTACTTTCGGAAGGCCAAATAAAGTGCTTTTGCTTTCGCCTAGAAACACACAGCGTCTCCCTGACATGCTGCTTCAACACTAACTGCGGTTACTGAAACCACGCCTTCTTTCTTTGCGTGCACATTTGGGTGGCATTATGCAAATATTCCCACATAGTGAGGTAGATATGTGGGGGCGTGTTAGAATGAGCCGTTTTAGGGGGGCGTGGCAGAGTCTTAACTTTGATAAAGAATATCTCTTTGGTTTTGAGACTTTAGTCTTTGCAACTTCAGGGATCTTATCTATGCACAATCAGCTTGTAACACTCCAAAGAGAAAAACTTGAAATGGCATCATATGACCCCCTTTACGGAAACATTTGTCCTGTCTCCTGAGGCCACAGGAGGGCGCAATGAGCAAAATAATGCACCTCATTAAATGGTTTATTCAATGCAATGAAAATACCGGCTGTCTATAAAAAAAAAAGTACATAATGCCTAAACTAATATTTATAAATCAAATATGATTTCGTAAATTGCATAAACAATAATGAACAAAACAGCATCATATGCATTTATGCATAATATAAATAGCCAAATTCCTTTTTTTAAATTTACAATCTCCTCATTGCAGACAGGCACGGCACTAATTTCAGCATGTTTGTTCTGTTGGCTGTCTGCTCGGCACTCATAACACATGCCTTTAAATGAAAAAAGCGTGAAACTATCGTGCGATATCTAAAAAAAAAAAAAATCTATCGTTATCAATGATGGTGTACCGTCGATAAATATCGATACCGTTTTATTGCCCAGGCCTACATCCACATTCAGAATCAGTCCAAGAATTTCACAGATTTATAAATCCTGTAAAAATATGCATCTACCCATTTACATCCAGACAAGATTTAAGGTGTCACATAGGTCATATTAGACTGGCTCGTGTGCATTTATTGAAGGGCGGAGAACCTCCAAGTTGTAGCACTAACATGTTTTTGGTCTGCCCAGTTTTTAGTGTGATGTGACGATTTGTTCAGGGCAAATTTTGAAGGACTTTTGTAAGATGGACCCAGAAAGCTTCTTTTGAAGAAAAGAAGCTTCTTTTGAATTTGTTTAATTTTTTTTCCCCAAGTTGAAATTTATAAAATGCGGAGAACCTCCAAGTTGTAGCACTAACATGTTTTTGGTCTGCCCAGTTTTTAGTGTGATGTGACGATTTGTTCAGGGCAAATTTTGAAGGACTTTTGTAAGATGGACCCAGAAAGCTTCTTTTGAAGAAAAGAAGCTTCTTTTGAATTTGTTTAATTTTTTTCCCCCAAGTTGAAATTTATAAAATGTTTTTTTGTTGAATGCTTAAAATGCATCTGCTGTAAAGCTGATATGTCTAATTTAAATACAGCCAACCAATATTCAGAATCACTTCCCGTGTAGCTTGATAGTGTTGCTTTGTTTACTATTAAAAGTGTGCTAATTGTGTCACTGGTTCTCTGCTTTACCTCTAGATTGAGAAGGAAGAGCAGGCTGCAGCTGAGAAGGCTGTAGGTAAGGAGGAGTTCCAGGGAGAATGGACCGCTCCTGTGCCCGACTTCAACCAGCCTGAGGTTGCTGACTGGTCTGAAGGTGTTCAGGTTCCATCTGTGCCCATCCAGCAGTTCCCAGCTAGCGTTGAGGGTAAGCTGCTTCTAGTAGACTTGTTTTCCCAGATGTTACAGTTGGTAAATGCAAAATACAAACAATTTTGGAAATTACATTTAGATAATTATTTCAACTGAATGTGAAAATTGTGAACTAATCGACTCTTCTGAACTTCAGCTCCTGCCAAAGCTGCACCAGCTGAGGTGTTTGCAGGTAAGGTTTTCCTGTTTAGTAGCATGAAATGCACAGTACTAAATAATGAAGTGTGTGTAACATTTGGTGTAATTTTGAATTTCTGTCTCCTCAACAGAGGACTGGAGTGCTCAGCCTGCCACTGAGGATTGGTCTGCTGCTCCCACGGCTCAGGCCGGAGACTGGGGCGGCACCACTGCAGACTGGTCTTAAGAGAAGCATTAACCGTGCTTGTAAAATCAATAAATTTGGTTGTTTAAAACCGCGGTTCTGATACGTTTTCTTCTTGAGCTTATTTCTGATAAGCAATTATGGCTATAGTGTCTAGCCACGTAGTGTGTTATGACACCAAAACATGCAGATGGGCAGGTCTTATGTGAAATGGCTTGATGAAGGGATAGTGTACTGTCCGCTGAACAGTGTTCAATAAACCCTAACTGGGTATTATATATTAAGCTTATTTTGTAGACATTTGAGTGACCGATTGCGTTGGGTAGCAGCCTTTCAGTGTTTGACCAGTGAAATCAAAATTGAATTTGCAGTGTTTGACAGTTTTCAGAATGACTAGAGGGCCGTCTTATTGAAATCAAAACCGTTTTCAGTGTTTCTGCAGCTCTTAAAGTCTTAATTCAACCTTTTGCAAACTAAGGCCTTGAAAAGTTAAATTCACAAAGTCATGGCATATGTTGCATGCATATCAAATTACTGCCTAGTACCTCAGTTTTTTTGCTTTACAATTCAAATCTGAACATTTAGCCCTTAATGTACATTATTACAAACGTAAACCAAAACTAAATGAGCAGATTTTTCTGAGCCTATTAGTGGATATTTGGTCTTGTTTTAATGACATTTGCACTGGAAAACGACAAATACTGCAGACAAATATCACTTTTTACAGTGTGATCCGAAGGTAAAGTAAAAGTTATTTTCATATTCTAGTGGTTGAGATCAGAAGTATGTTGAAAGTTGTATTTTCAAACCGATGTGTTGCTAACATTGCTCCTTAGACATTTACATTTAGAGGACATTTATTTCGCTCAGTTTTTTTTGTAAAATTGTATTTGGTCTTCTGTTTACCTTCACCAAACCTGCAGAAACCCTGGTTTAAGAATGTAAAGTGTCTGTTTGATTCAGATTTGGCTATTTTAGGATTAGTTGATGAGCACTTTTGCCTTGTGCATGAACATTATTACTGGTATATGTATGACTCAAATAATAGTGAAAACATTCCACCCCAGATGGGACTCGAACCCACAATCCCTGGCTTAGGAGGCCAGTGCCTTATCCATTAGGCCACTGGGGCTTCTATGGCTGTCTTATGAAAGATTCAACTTGTTTATATATAATAAATAAGTGAAAAAAAAAAACGTATGTTATATTTTAACCATGTTTTGATTAAAAACACAAGGCACAGCGATGCGCATGAATCCCATCACATGGCGGTCTTCTGTCGTTGATCTGTTGAGGAATGGGTTGCTTAGCAACATCCTGATGCAGCGCCGCCAAACATAGCAGTCGAGCTTAGCTAGAGAACACTGATTACACACTAATCACGCACTGCTCTGCGCTATTATATATAATCTGATTTAATTCAGGAGGTAGGATCGTTTGCGTTTATTCAAAAGCAAACGCAGATCTTTTAAACATCTTGTACGCACACCTAAACATAGTCGCTTAGCAAGTATGCTAGCTAGTAGGCTATCTGGCTAGTTTACTTCATCTACAGAAATACTGTCCCTGGATTAACGGACATCTAAATCGATGCTGTTTGTAAAGCTAGTGATTCCTTTTATAGGCTTTATGGTGACCAGAGTGCTAGTACAATGACTGGCTAAATCTAGTCTAGTTTCAGGGTCGTGTGCTCGTGGACAGTAAAGCATCATCACCATGGTGAGTATCAACAACACATATAATATAGTTATTATTAAGTTAACATAAAATGTTCTGAGCAAGCAAGCATACATGTGGCTTTTATGTAGGCTAGGCATAATTCAATATGAATTCAAGAACTTAAAAAATGTGCTCACTTTTTTTTCTGTTCTCATTAGTATTACTTTTTGAGCTAGTTATATCTTGTAACTGTAACAGTTTTATTATTATTATTATAACAACTAAACTTAATTAATCTAATGGCCTCCTTTATAATTATATCTAGCTACCCATTTAAAATTGGTTATGCCTATATTAGTGACCCTCACTTTTTGTTTTCTATAAAAACATGTAGCAACAAATACTCTGCGTTAATCTTGCCTAGTTAGGTAACTTGAATTCTTTTAAGTGCCCACACTATATGATAGTATAGTAGTTGAATGTTCCCCTGAGAAATTAAGACATTACAGTAGTAAACATAGTTTTATAGTTTCATAGGAAAATTTTTTTTCTGTTCTCATTAGTATTACTTTTTGAGCTAGTTATATCTTGTAACTGTAACAGTTTTATTATTATTATTATAACAACTAAACTTAATTAATCTAATGGCCTCCTTTATAATTATATCTAGCTACCCATTTAAAATAGGTTATGCCTATATTAGTGACCCTCACTTATTGTTTTCTATAAAAACATGTAGCAACAAATACTCTGCGTTAATCTTGCCTAGTTAGGTAACTTGAATTCTTTAAGTGCCCACACTATATGATAGTATAGTAGTTGAATGTTCCCCTGAGAAATTAAGACATTACAGTAGTAAACATAGTTTTATAGTTTCATAGGAAAAAATTTTTTTATTTAGCTCGGAAGCATTAAATTGATAATGTATAGTGTTACAAAATATTTCTATTTCAAATAAGTGCTTGATGAGCATACTGCAAAAGTCTTACTGACCCTAAACTTTTGATCGGTAGTGTGTAAATAATAGTAGAGTACATGTAGTCCATGTGCTGTACAATATGCATGAAGGATTACAAACTGGAATAAATATTTATGTGTACACATGATTAGAATAAAATAATAGAATTTCTCTGAACTGTTGTACATCCTGATAGCAGCATCTTGTTTCTGTCCTGAAGCTCTTGTCTCGGATCAAACCAGCAGTGGGTGGGGAAGCCTCCACCAGCTCGAATGAGAAGAAAAGGAAAAATAAAAGCAAAAAGATTCCAAGACTTGAGGATTATCTAAACCAAAGAGACTATTTGGGAGCCCTGACTCTATTAGAGGTACAAAAACAAGCACTTTGGATCTCAGATTACATCTCTATGATATTTACATGAACTCTGTAATGCTAGTTTCAGCGTAATGGCGGGGTGTCAGTGGAGCATGCAGACCTTTGGACTGGCTTCTGTGCCTTTCATTTGGGAGAGCACAAGAGAGCAATGGAGGTTAGTGAAAGAGATGGTAGATTCTGCAGACACACCAGGATGTTGGATGCAGTCAGTCATGCTTGACTAAGAAATGAATCACCTTTAAAGAGCGAGGCTGTGTGGCATTATGGCTGATTGTCATTTGAAATTAGTTGTTTGTAACATGACATATTCCTACTTGTTACATATACTCAGGAGTACGAAGCTCTCACTCTGAGGCCGGAGTGTCCGGTGGATGTTTGGGTATATCTGGGCTGTTCGCTCTTTTTCCTGGGGCTTTATAAAGAGGCCGAGGAGGCGGCATCAAAAGGTTTGTCTTCACATACTGTAAACTAAAGTTTGGGGTCTGTAAGATGTTTTTGGAAGAAGACTCTTATGCTCACCAATGCTGTTTTTTTCAAATACAGTAAAATCAGTAATATTATAATAATGTAAAATCTTAAAATGTAATTTATTCCTGTGATGGTAAAGCTGAATTTTCAGCATCATTACTGAAGTCTTCAGTGTCACATGATCCTTCAGAAATCATTCTAATATGCTGATTTTGGTGCTTAAGTAACATTATCAATGTTGAAAACAGTGCTACATAATATTTTTATGGAAACCGATTTTGTCAGGATTCTTTTATAAAAAAGAACAGCATTTTTTAGAAATACATATACTTTTTTTTTGTAGCACATCATCAAAAATTATCCTCTTAAGACCCGAGAAAAGATTTTTAGGAAAAAAATCTTTTTTTTTCATGTCTTTACATTGTTTAGAGCATTAAAAAAAAAAATAAATAAAAAGATATTCCGTTCATAAGTTATGCTATGTCCTCGGTAAATAAAAAGACACGAATGAACATGCATAGGCAAAAACAATAGATTTTTAAAATCACCAATACATTTTTAGTTTTTAGGATTTTTTTTTTTTTTTACCAAACTTTGTATAAAGATGATTCTCAACTATGTTATAACAGAATGATTTGATATACCATTTTTCTTTCTGCAAAATGTGTAAAATGGCCATAAACGGGTTTTCTCATTATATACAATGTATCTATAAACTAAATCTAATTTGCATATTAATGTGTTTTTTGGGGCAACATGTAATGAAAAAAGAAGTGTAATAATGGGAGTAATATTTGACAAGATTTTCATAATAATATAGAATATTGAAACATAATTTCTTTCTCTATTAATTTGTTATATCTCCCAAAATGCTAATAAACATGCTTTTAGTCCCAGTATCCTGTTTCATAACAGAAAGTCATATTTTGATTTGAAACCCCATAACATTTTTCTGAGATGTTGATTTATGACAGACAGTTTAAAAATTAGACAGATTTAAATTATAATTACAAAATATTATCTTATTTCCATAAGAGTGTCACTAAATTAATATCAGACATATTTGAAGACCAAGGAGAGGGGAAACATCCAAACATTTAATATCTCTGAAAAGCCCTGAATGTGCTCTGTACAGGACATCCAGACTTAAAACTGTGGCATGTATAGTCTCAGAGAAATACACCAAAATATAATGTCCTCATATGAGGTCACATGGTCTCAGGAGGTTAAAACATGCTGTCTTTTTCAGGGCCAAAAACTCAGCTTCAGAATCGCCTGCTCTTTCATTTAGCTCATAAGGTCAGTTTTTCGTAATATTTCGTCCCCTAGTTGACATTATTATGGTAGTGCATCTGATGATAATGATATGGTCTGCTTTGTTCTTCTCTGTGAAGTTCAGTGATGAAAAGAAGCTGATGGGTTTCCATCAGAACCTGGAGGACGTGACTGAGGACCAGCTGAGCTTGGCTTCCATTCATTATATGCGCTCTCATTACCAAGAGGCCATTGATATCTACAAACGCATCTTACTGCAGAACAGGTGCTTCAGAACTACACCGTGATCGCATCAACATATGAACCAGAACCTTTGAGAAGACGTACAATGCATTTGTACAATAATATAATAACATATGGAATGTCAACACATTCTTCGTACAGCACAGCATCAATACTGACAAATGATTTGTCTCTCTCCAATTCTGCAGAGACTTTCTGGCCCTGAATGTGTATGTGGCTCTGTGTTACTATAAGCTGGATTACTATGACGTGTCTCAGGAGGTGTTGGCCGTGTATCTGCAGAGTATTCCTGACTCTACCATCGCCCTTAACCTCAAAGCCTGCAACCACTTCAGACTCTACAATGGCAAAGCTGCTGAGGTCAGTTACACTACTATGTTTTCTAGCATACACAAGATGAAAGTTGATGATTATGATCCTAAAGACAACTTTAATTGTACACTACTGTTTCAAAGTTTGGGATAGGTAATTTTCTTTTTTTAAAGTCTTATTTTTTAAGTCTAAAGGCTGCATTGATTTAATCAAAAATACACTAAGTTGTGTAAATATTACAGTTTTCAATTGTAATGTATTTTAAAATGTAATTTTTTTTCTTATGATGCAAAGCTGAATTTTCAATAGTTACTACTCCAGTCTTCAGTGTCACATGATCCTTCACAAATCATTCCAATAGGCTGATTTGCTGTTAAAGAAACCTCCTCTTATTATCAATGTTGAAAACAACTGTGCCGCTTAATATTTTTATAGAATTAGGAGTCTGCATTTATATTAAGTATTTTTGTGTAACAATGCAAATGTCTTTACTGTCACATTTGATCAATTTAATAGGTCCTTGCTAAATGAAAATATAAAAATATGAATTTGTTTATAACGTGATGTGAAAATAATAAAGAAATAAAATGCGTTGAAATAAAATGCATGTGTGTTGACGATGAAAGATGGTTTTAAGTTCTTTAATTAACATTTTGTTCTCCTTCTTGACTCTTTAGACGGAGTTGAAGAACCTGATGGATATCTCTTCCAGCTCATTTCAGTTTGCTAAAGAGCTCATTCAGCACAATCTGGTTGTGTTTCGTGGGGGTGACGGGGCCTTGCAGGTTTTACCTCCTCTGATTGACGTCATATCAGAGGCCAGACTCAACCTGGTCATCTACTATCTCAGACAAGGTATGTCGATCAGGCGTACAGTGAGACTGGCTTATCAGGTTTGTTATTAACTTTGCCATCTCTCATTTAGATGACATTCAGGAGGCCTACAAACTCATCAAAGACCTTGAGCCCACCACACCCCAGGTATTTAGTCCTCCCTAATATTTATTTCTCCTTTTTTTTTACTCTTTTTATTTACTGTCAGTCAGTGACTGGATTAGAGTTTATAAGTGATTATAATGTGTTTTATCTGCTGGTATGGGATGTGATCGTCTTGGTAGTACCAGCATGAATGGACTGACAATGATAAACTAATCAAATCATATTTTCCACCATATGTGACCCTGGACCACAAAACCAGTCATAAGGGTAAATTTTTTGAAATTGAGATTTATACATAATCTGAAAGCTGAATAAATAAGCTTTCCATTGATGGAAAAGCTTTCCATTGATGCCGAGATACAACTATTTGAATATCTGGAATCTGAGGGTGCAAAAAAAATCTAAATATTGAGAAAATGGTCTTTAAAGTTGTCCAAATGAAGTTCTTAGCAATGCATATTACTAATCCAAAATTACGTTTTGATATATTTACGGTAGGAAATTTGCAAAATATCTTCATGGAACATGATCTTTACTTAATATCCTAATGGATTTTTGGCATAAAAGAAAAATCAATAATTTCGACCCATACAATGTTTTTTTTGGCTATTGCTAAAAATACACCCAAGCGACTTAAGACTGGTTTTGTGGTCCAGGGTCACATATATATAACCATTTTCCATCTTCATTTGTCTGCCTTACATGAGAATTGTTGTCTAAAATACATTTTGGGTCCAGTGATATCATTTTATCCTCTGGTGTCATTCACAGGAATATATTCTGAAGGGGGTGGTGAATGCTGCTTTGGGACAAGATATCGGATCGGTTCGTGAGGTTTATTCATATCAGATAACAGTATTCCCTCTCAAAGCCTTTGTGCATGTTTTCCAAAAAAATTCCCAAAACTATGTTCTCTTATCTTGTTATATGTTTGTGTATTTTTACAGAGGGACCATTTAAAAATTGCCCAGCAGTTTTTCCAGTTGGTTGGAGGCTCAGCCAGTGAATGCGGTAACATCATTGTTTAGGCTGACAATAACAATATTAGCGCTGGTTCAGCAGCCGGGCCCCTGTGCTTTATGGAATGGAGCCGGTGACAGAGTTTGTTTTCTTGGCACAAACTATGCCACATCCTAGACTGAAAATGGCTCTCAATTATATATCCTTTCTATTTTACTACAAAATGTAATTTGAACCTGACATAGCGAAAATTAAATATTATTTTCTAAATATTTTTTATTAAAATGGGGTTTGTCCCTAATGTAGGAACGCAAAACCGTCATTTGGAATCCAAAATTGGCCATTTGTGTGAGTCGTGTTAAACCGATGAGTGCTTGAAGCATGGCACTGTGTTCATTTACACGCGAGCAGCTGATGTTTTCAGTGTCTCAGAGCGGCTCGGTTTGCAGTAACCACTGCTCCGCACAAACGTCATCTCCCCAAATGTGTTATGAGAATCTGTTGTCAGCAAAACAGAAACTTTGAGGTCTATGCTTTTATTTTTGTTTTCTGCAAAAATAAAAGCTCTGTGGTTTAACGCTTGACAAGAGAGAAATTAGGACAACCATGAATATTAGTATTGAAATTTTACTGTTGTTCTGTAAAATAAAATAAAAAGGCATATTGAATATAACTGTAACAGAGAGTTCTGTAAAGAAAATAAATAAATTACATATTTAATCTCCGTGTAACATTGCAGTTGACACTACAGTCACCAGCTGACCGGCAAATAGCTTTATTTTCTCACCTATTTATTTATTTATTTTAATTAGGTACTTGTCAAGTGTTCAATTTGTACCTGTTGGATTTATGAATTTACTTATTTATCTACTTATTTATTTATTTAGCTACATAGCACATAAATAAAATGTAGGTTTTGTACATTAGTTTCACTGAGAATGCATTTCCCTTTGCCCTGGACATGTGAAACACATTTAATGATCTATTTTCTTCTTATAAGACACAATACCCGGCAGGCAGTGTATGGCCTCTTGTTTCTTCCTGCTGAAACAGTTTGAGGATGTGCTTATATATCTCAACTCAGTCAAGGTAATACACATATCAGAGTGTTTGGACTGGAAGCAGAAGCATTAAAAACATGGTCCCACTTTATATTAAGTAGCCTTAACTACTATGCACTTACATTTAAATGAATCATTTGGTACAATGCACTTATAGTGTACATAAATGTTTTTGGTTACACTTTACTTGAAGGGGTGTGCATAAGGTCATAAAAAGCTACATTTTATTTTATTTGAAATGGAACAGTTTATTGAACCTTTAGACCAAATATTTCGAAAAATGTCATATCTGTTTTTTTCTGGCGAATCATATTTGATACACCAGGCTTTTATGACTCATTTAGTATAATAAAGTGAGAAATAAAGAAGTCCCATTCGAGGAGGAACAAACACAGCTGTTTTATTCAGGCTTAAGCCGTGCAAAAATGTGCAATGTGGTGCAGTTGCTATATTTATATGGCCAAAAAGATGACATTCTGGTATCTTTTAATTTTGGGGGAAAACAATACAATTCAATACTATGATGACCGAGAGATGTACAAATAAACATTCCTTAAAAGCCTGATGTATCATATTTGTACTCATATTTTAAAAAAATTATCTGTGCATAATCAATTAACAGTTAGTTGCTCATCACAATAAGTGTTCATTTTGAGATATCACTAACAATATAAAAATAATTTTTATGATTGCTATATAAAAATCAGATTTAAGATTTTTGGACAAAAAAGTCACATGTACCACAACCTGAAGGTAGACCGTTTTAGAAATACTTTTGCTTTTTTTTTTAACTTGCTAAAAGAGTATAAACTATCAATCAGACGACAAAGGAGTGTAGTAAACTGTGTACAACAGGTTCTTCAGCAACGTTTTGATCATATTGATAATTTAGGGGCCTTAGAAATGTATCAAATATGATGCAGTAGACTTTATAGTGTTAAAATAGACAGCCGTAGCTCACCCAAGTTTTGCAAAATTCTGTTAAATCATCTTTAACTCTCAAGAGAATGAGCTTTTGACCTCTTGTCATGTTTTCTATGTTTATATTTTCTTTGTTTTCAGAGAGACACTGAAGGAGGTTTTGCCAATGTTGAGGAGCACTGGCAACCCACAAGTTGAGTACATCATCCGCATCATGAAGAAATGGGCCAAAGACAACAGAGTGGCTCTCTGATCGCATTTACAAATGTGCTAACACACAGCAGTAGTTATTATTGGATATTTATGTTTGTTTGTCTGTCAACAAAATATGTGATGAGTACAACAGTTAAGATGCATCTTAGAAAGAAGAAAAATCTCATGCTCTTATAAAGTGTAGTACAGCCACACTAAAACATTTACTTAATTATAAGAATTATATCTTTTTTTTTTATTATTGCAGTTGTCAGAAAGAGAAAACTATATTTACAATGTATCCATGTCAGTGAATGTTTTCTGTGAGATGGGCAATGCAAAAAATTAGTTTATATATTTTCATACTTGAGGCAACATAAGCCTTTATTGTTTTGTCTTGGAAACAATAAATGTCTTAATTTGACAGGCTTTATAAAATGATATACAGTGCTATGAAGATTAATCTGTGTTATAGTTATCTAGCTCAGGCATGATATTTGTACACCTTTAGAACAAGTGATATCAATGACTAAGGCAATTCAATTGTTTCAAAACAGGCTGTGACAACCTAACAGAAAAGATTAGAAAAATTAATGTTATCGCATCAAAAAAGAAAAATGAATTATATTGAATTGTTATTGGTAACACTTTGCAATAAGGAACCATCTGTTAACATGAACTAACAATGAGGTAACACTTTATTTTAAGGTGTCCTTGTTACTCATATTACATGTACTTACTATTATAATAACAATTAATTATGCATAATTACATGCATTAACCCTAAACCAAACCCTAATCCTAACTCTAACCATATAGTAAGTACATGCAGTTCATTTAAAATAATTACTCAGTACTTAAATGTATAATTACACTGTAACAAGGACACCTTAAAATAAAGTGTAATCAAAAATGAAAATCTTTTTTTTATTAATCTTAGTTTGTTTATTTGACATTTACTAATACATTATTAAAATAAAAAGTTGTCTCTGTTCATATTATTTAAAGGACCTGAGCTAAAATGAAACAAAAATAGTAGTATTTTTATTCACTTTAAAAAATATGAATAAATACTGTAACAAATGTATTGTTTATTGTTAGTTATATTAGTTTATGCATCAACTAACGTTAAGGAACGTTATTGTTATTTGTCTGTTTATTATTGTTATTGTCAAGTATTATATAAGATTATATAATATGTATTAAGTATTATAGCTAACTGAGACTTGTTATAGCACTTGCATATCATTGCTCTTTTGTTGATTTTGATTGCTTCCATTGTCCTCATTTGTAAGTCGCTTTGCATAAAAGCGTCTGCTAAATGTAAATGTAAATTTATGTAAATGAAAGTATTACCATTACATCTCCTGGGCTATTTAATTCCAAACAACAGAACCTCTTAACATGTAATAAGCGCCTTTAGGAAACACCTTAAACCACATTCTGTTGGAAAACACTTTCCTCTATTAGTTCCATATCTATGTATTAGTTCAATTTCAAGGGGAATCCTTTTTTTTCAACCGTGGCATTTCTATTTGCTCATTAGAGCGTCTGTTGCCTGTAGGCCTGCCTCTGATTGGACGCGCTGCCTCCGTCGGCGTCTTCTGATTGGCCAAGGCGCCCTCTCCGTCGCGCACGCCGTTTCCGGTGTCCCTGTGTGCGCAGGCTCAGTTCGCTCGTCTGCGCTCTTTTATTTATTTACTCTCTCTCATCTAAGATGGCTGTTCGGAGCTCCTGAGTCCCCCGAGCGAAGCGACCGAGGATGCTTGCGCCTCCAAAATCAACTTTCACCCGGCCATCCCTTCCCACGCGCACCCCGTAAGGCGCGGAGGGGACTCTAGCATCACTACCGCCTCCGAGCGCCCCTTCCATCCGGCGTGAAGCTCTTTAAATCAAGTTGTTTGGCGAAGTCGAGCCCCGCCGCTGAGTGAGTGAGTGAGTGAGTGTCCAAGAGCACTGAACATCCAAATGGCCGAACCGAGAAAAGTGCAGTTTGTCACCCTGTCGGCCCTGTCCGGCGGTCCGGGCGCGGAGGGCAGGAGACGGCGGCTGGATGAGGACGGAGCCGCCGAGATGAGTTTTGACCGAGAGGGCAGGATGAAGATGACGGGGACCGGGGTAACGACAGCGGGTGACCGCGGGGGTTTGATCGAGAAGAGAGACGGCGAAGAGCCCAAAGGGAAGACAGTGCGCCTCAACCTGTGTCTGTTTGAGCCTAACGAGCAACGCTCGGCCGAGTTCAACTACAGCGAGCTCATCCAGTCTCAACAGGTACAGTAACTGTCCCGATCACTTCAGTGAAGAGAGTGTGTTAGTCAAACCATTACAAGCCACCGCTTGCTTGTTTTTGCTGAGTTTGCTTATGCATTAGCCTGTTAGCAGTGGAGTCCAAAAATAAAGTCCTCTTCAGGATCTCCTACTAAGTGGCAAGTGTAACATATGTTGTGATCGAGTGAGAAGTGCATTAATTTTTTTATGACTTGTCTCTCTCTCCTGTTTGCTCATAAACTTTAGAGCACTTTTTTTGAGTACGTGACCCTTGTGGCCCCCAGGGCCCTGTGCGCACAATATCAGTAATGGAGAGCTGAATTGCTGCTAAGTGCTGTTCTTGTAACTTTTATGAATATAGGCCTGGCCTTTGCCATCTGTCAGATGATTGGTTTTCTTAAAAGTGCACTTTTTGCTAATTAAAAAAGTTTTGCTATTAAATGATTTTTGAGAAATGTCATTAAAATGGTGTGCACTCACTTGTGATAAGCACTCTATTAATTTGTTGTAAAAAAAAAAGAAAAAAAAGCTGTTTTCTACATGAAGTGGGTTGCCACCTCATGGGCGACTTCATGTTGAGATCACATGATCATTGGTGTCATTTTAGATTGCTACTAATAATATCAGTGATAATAATACTACTACTACTGCTACACAACATGACAATGGAGTCTAAAGCAATACCAGTTCAAACTGAATAAAAGCTAGATCTGTTTATTATAAGCATGTGTTGCAGCTATGTTTACTGCAGCTTTAAATGCATAAGCTCTTTAAAGTCAGCTAGATTCTGGATTCTATCTTTGTCTTTATCGTTTTTGAAAGTGATTCCATTGATATTGTTCCTATGTGTCATTATTGTTATAGTTGTGGTGTGGAATGCCCTATTCTTGTAGAATTTTAACGATTATTAATGAAAACTCTAGCTTTCGGCCTTAGTGTGAATGGACCTAAAAGGGATAGTCCACCCCAAAATGAAAATTCTGTCATCATTTACTCACCCTCATTTTAAACATGTATGACTTTTTCTTCTGTGAAACACAAAGAAAGATATTTTGAAGAATGTTGATAACCCTAACACACTTTCAGTTCCTGTTTACTTCCATTGACAAAAAAACAATCAAACAATAGAAGTCAGTGGAAACTGAAACTGGCATCGAGGCAGTTCTGAAACTTTTTTTATTTATTATTTTTGGGTGGAATATCCATTTAAGTTTGAATGGAAAAATAAATTAAATGTTCCAGAAAAATATTGATACAGAACGTATTGTACTCATTCTGATCCACAAAGCCAAACTGGAAAAATTAAATGTCTCAACCTTACTGGAGTGATTACGCTCACACATTTTTCGTTCCACAGGCCAAGAAGAATCCACCAGATTCTAAATCTTCCCTGGACCCCAATGATCCCTTTAATGCTGATGAGCGAGAACGTCGGGAGGTCGAGGCATTGGCCAAAAAGTTTGAAAGCAAATATGTAAGTGTTGTTCTATGATTTTAAGTTGCATATTCAAATGTGTGGGCACTCAAATGCCAAATGTCACGTTGCCGCTACCACCGACGTCCTTACAGGGTAACGCAGGGAAAAAGAGGCGGAAAGATCGGATGCAGGATTTGATTGACATTGGCTTCGGCTACGATGAGAGTGACCCCTTCATAGACAACTCGGAAGCTGTGAGTGGGCACTTGCCATGGCAACAGACAGACATCACTATGGAGATGATCGATTGGCATTTAACATGCTGTTTACCAACTCTGTCTCATTGCTCTCTGAACTTGAGGGGTGTTTTTTTTCCATTCATATTGAAATCAGTGATGGATATATTTAGATTTACCTTATGGATGGATTTGAACTGTGTGGTTGTGGAGTCATTTTTGCCATCATAGCGGCGTAAAACTTTGCCATAACCTCAGAAATGCAGACAACAAACAGTGTGAATCGTTGTTTCTTCTTCCTGTCAGTATGATGAGCTTGTTCCAGCCTCCCTGACCACCAAGCTTGGTGGATTCTACATTAATACGGGTACTTTGCAGTTCAGAGCTGCCTCTGAATCTGAGGGAGAGGATGGGGGCAAAGAAGAAAAATCCAGGGTGAGTTTACGTTGTTTTTGCCAAATGACCCTGTGCACACCTGGTTATTAATGTCCATCGTGGGTGATCCGGTCAGAAGTGGTCAGTTGAGATAGATAGACATTGAATTTGGGTTTTATTATACATCTGCAATGTATCTCGTTAGACCACTTGTGATGTTGTCAAAGGGAGGATCAGGAAGCAAAGAATTGACATACTGTTGCTCCTAAACGCTTGTTTTAAATTTAATCTTGCCACATACAGGTGTATGTGTATAAGGTTGGCTTTTCCAAATCAGATCAGATTAAGGAGCATGAAATCTTCAGAGTTTAAAACCCTTCATGTGTGACTTTATTCAGATGTGGTTTGAGTGACCAGATCACAAAACAATTTGAACCCCATTTACACTTCTATTTATAATATCTGTCTCGACTGAACCCTTGTGATCAGATCACCCAGACGGATGTTGTTACCATGTGTAAACGGGGCCACTAAATGATATTTAGACCTGTTAAAGAGACAGTTCACCCAAAAATGAAAATTCAACCTAATGTCGTTGCGAACCCATAAGACTTTTGGTGATCTTTTAAAACATACGAACAGAGTGGTTTAAACACTTTAATCATATGCTTTAATTGTTTTTTTTAAACAATATTTTTATTAACTTTTTTCAAGTTTTGGTGGAGGGATAGAAATCTCTCGCGTTTCAATAAAATATCCTCATTT